TCTGGTGAAGGAGAGCGGGCTACGGAGAGAATCCAGGCGGGGCCAGCGTGAGACGGGCTTCCCTATGAATGCCCAGGCCCTGACTCTCGACATCCTATGAGGATGAGACCCCTCCCCCCCACTATCTCCCATATCCCTTTTGCTTCTCAGCTGGTTGGCAGGTCTTTGTGGTGGCGTCAGAAGGACCTGAGTTCAAGTTCTGGTTCCACCACCCACACACAGCCTTGGTTTCCCCATCTTTACATGGGGGCGATCACAAGACCCATGCCTCACCGGCCGGCCCTGAGCATTAAGCACTGGTTATGAGATCCTGCTGAAAAGTAGTAAATGCAATAAAATCATACCCCTTTGGAAGCTGGCTATCGTCTGAGGGGGGGTTCCCTAGAAGCAGAACCGCTGTTGGGGGTTCTCGTGCGTGGATAAACGGGAGCAGTGCCGGCAGATGAAGGGGAGTGAGGCAAGCAGGAGAGGGAGGGAGAAGGAGCCAAGCAAGGCTCCAGCTGGAGAAAGCTCTCTCCCGATCCCACCGGGAACTCTGGACTAAGAATTGCATCACAGAGCTGGGCTCGCCTTACAACAAGGGTGGGCTTTTTGTGCCCCATGTCACTGAAGCACTGGCTGGCACGGAATGACAGGTGACCCTGCTGTGAGCCGGCGGCGGCAAACACTCCCAGCGGCAGGGCAAGGGGGTCTGGGAGGGGGCACCAGCAGCATCCACCACCCCGGGACCCCCCTCTTACCATCACATCCCAGGGCTGCACAGACGTCCCCTGTCTATTCCTAAAGCAGGCCTGTGTCCCCAGAGCTGCGGCTTCCTGGGCCAACAGCTCCCAGCTGCCCTGGCCCACATTCCAGGTGGGGTCAGCAGGGTCCAGGAGCAGGGGCCTGGGGGGCAGAGTGGATGGGCGGGCAGGTGGGGAAGGTGGGAATCAGTGAAGAGCAAGGGGGGTGGGAGGAACCAGGATAGGGTGGGGGTGCTGGGGAGAAGGAGGAGAGCGTCAGGACCTTAGGGCTGTGGCCCAGTCTCTCCCAAGCACAGTAGGGTTCCCACCTGGCCGCCTCCGTCAGGAAGGTATTGGGTGACCCCTCAATTTCAGAAACGGTATTTTATTGTGTTAATGAAACTGGCTCTGGCTTCTTTGGGGGCTCCTTGTGTCCATACATCTTCAGCAAAGAGTCCAGAAGGAAGTAGAGCGAGGAGTGGGGTTGGGGCCCCTAGATCCCAGCCTAGATGGCTCCTGGATGCGATGACTCCAGGGTGACCGTGGGGGGAGGGGAAGGGATGATGTGGGGGCATCGGGGGTCCGCACCTGGGTTTCTGAAGCTGGCCGAGAAGCTGTGTCCTGATAGCTGGGTCCTCAAAGTTATAGTTGACCGTCCAGTAGACACAGAGCCTCTGGTGCTGCTGGACCAGCCCTAGGACCGTCTTTAGGCCTTCCGCCATGTTGAAAGAATCTTCCCCGCAGCCCTGTTCCCAGGCGAAGATGGTCAGGAGCTCCAGGGCGTAGACAGGGGGCAGGGAGGCTGAGGCTGGCTGCCGTCCTTTGTTCTGAGCTGCGACCTAGGTCACCCAAAGCCAATCAAAGAATGAGTGGAGGTGGGCACCCACGATGTGCTAAGCATGGCCCTGTGTACTTGGAGGGGGAGGGGAATATAAAAACAACACGCATATCATTTTGCCGGACCAAATAAAACCCTTTTTGTTTTACAGGTGGATACACAGAGGTCTGGGAGCGGGCATGGGTAGGGACTTGTCCAAGGTCACCCAGTGAGACCAAGAGTCTCAGACTTGATCTTTGCCCAGAGTCTCTCCATCAAGGGTGTAGGGGACGGTTGTACAAGAATGGGGGCTGCCATATGTTCAGCTTGGCATCCCAACATCTGGCACAACAGTGACGTTAGCGACAGTGGGTGCTCAGCAGATGATTGTTGAATGAGTACAGGAAAGCGAGTGCATTTAGATGAGTGTTTCTGGTGAAGGAGCCCTCGAGGAGGCTCGGCGTTTATGTAGTACAACTTGCACACAAGACAGTGATGGTGGACACAAGACATTGATGGTGGAACAGCATAAGCTAGGGCTTAGGGATGGGCAAGAACAGGGACTCCATTAGCTGTGCGACAAGTGATGAGAAACTGATGAGCTAGAGATGGAGGGTGAACCCCAGCCACAAGAAATCAGCATTTGGAGCTGGATGGAGAAAATGATTTTCTTTCAGTCAGGGACTTCCGGTCTGCACAGGAAGTGGAGGATGGGAGAGGTGGGCCTTCTACTTGGGATGGCCAATAAAAAGTGAAGGAAGGGAGACGTCTGCCCAGGGAAGGAGCTGATTGGCTGAGGCAGTCGCCACGACAGCAGCTACTTCCTGGGAGGAGCGAAGGGGTATGGAGGCCTCACCTGGTAGTACCAGTGCTTCACGAGCAGGATCAGGTTCTTCAGCTTGGTTGGGCGAGTGTTCACAAAGTTCCTCCGCAGCTCTGCGAAGCAGGCCGCGTGCTCGCCTCCCCGGCAGCCGCTGTCGAGGAGGCTGGAGTAGACCCCGGGCGCAGGCTTGGCGCCCGAGCAGAGCTGCCCTGCGGAAATTTGAAATACTCTGAATGCGTAGCTCTGAGAAAGACAGCAGCGTGTCCCAACCCGGCCACTCACCAGCCTTTATGAATATTTTAATGTTAATTACATCGCACTGCTATGCTTTTTTTTTTTTTTTTTTTTTTTTTTTTTTTTTTTTTTTTTAAAGCACCAAATATGTGCTGGGTGCTTTTCGGTAATTTTCACCAATCCACCCAATAATTGGAAGGTGGGCGATCTCGACCCCAGACAAGCTGCGTCGCATAGCGGGTAAGGGAATTCGTCTCCAAGACACGGGCTGGAGGCACCCCTCACCCACGGCATCAAAGACGGGCAGCAGGCTCACGTCCACCCGGCTTTCTGGGGCCTGGGACACCAGCTGCAAGTGCAATGCCTCGGGCGCGGTCTGCTCAGGAAAACTGAGGCTCCGGCCGGGGACTGGGTCCTGCCACCAGGATTCCAGCTGTGCCCGCATCTCATCAAGGATCTCCCGGCGGCGGGCCCTTTGGTCCCCGTAGTCCTTGAAGCAGTTGAGGAAAATGACGAGTTCGATGTCACAGTAGCCCCTCAGGTCTGTGCCCCGGCCAAATGAGCCCCCCTGCAGAGGATGGAACATCTCAGACCCATGGCTGTCCCTGAGCTCAGGAATCAGACTATGACCCCAGCCGCTGTACCCCCACTGCAGCCCCGACACCACTATGTCACTGATGGTGGGTCCAGGGACCCCGTGACAGAGGCGACTGCACAGGCCCTGTGACCTCTGACTCTTAGAAGCCTGGCAGAGTCAGATTACGTCTGTCTGCACCTGCCTCTTGACCCTCCGCCGCACAAAGTCAGACCAACATGCAGCAGGAGAAAATGGGGGGTGTAGTCAGGGGGACAGTGATTAATGTGCTTAGCTGAACATCTGCAGCACTTACTGCACATCTGGACCACACATGGCACGTTGCAGTCCCAGGGCCAATGGAGCCTGTGGATGTGCTCTGCTGGCCTGTTTCCACCCAGCCACCCACCCACCCACCCATCCATCCACCCACCCATCCACCCATCCAACACATTTTTTGAGCACTCACATGTGGCAAGATATCGGGAGTACATAAAAGTTACCTGTTCTCCTGGAACTTACATTGTAGCAGGGGGAGAGGAGGGAGGGACAGTCAGCAAACCACAGCCCCCAGAAAGCGCTCAGGGCCGTGTGGAGGCAAATAAAGCAGTAAGGGGATGGGGTGTGGGTGTGGAAGGGAGGTTGAGGTTGTGAACTCAACAGTCTGGCCTCCGTGAGATTCTAGAGGACTTGGACCCCAGACTTAAAGGAGGGTGGGGGAAGCCAAGTGGAAGAGGGGGAGGTGGGATTCCAGAAAGAGAAACCAGTCAGTGCGGACTCTGGCCTGTGAGTTCAAGAAGCAGCCAGGAGCCAGTGTGGAGTAAGTGGGGTTCAGAGAAAGACCAGGGCCAGATCCTACGGGCCTCGAAGCTACTGTGCTCTGTGAACCCCTGGAGGGTCCTGAGCAGAGAAGGGGAGTGCTCTGTTAGTGGTTTAAAAAACTATCATTAAAAGAGACCCCCCCAGGGGCGCCTGGGTGGCTTAGTCGGTTGGGCGTCCGACTTTCGCTTGGGTCATGATCTCGCGGTTCGTGGGTTCGAGCCCCGCATCGGGCTCTGTGCTGACTGCCAGCTCGGAGCCTGGAGCCTGTTTCAGTCTGTGGCTCCCTCTCTCTCTGACCCTCCCCTGCTCACGCTGTCTCTCTCTCTCTCTCTCTCTCTCTCATAGAAATAAATAAAAAAAAAAAATTAAAAAAAAAAAAAAAAAGAGACCCCCCCCCAAAAGCTGGCAGTTTTATACCTCTGTCCAGCAAACTACCCCTCCGTGGATGCCCACCTGCCCTGCCAACCCTCGGTGGCACTGCTGTGGTTGCTTCCCCCTCCTCACTGTGGTGCCCCAAGACGGTACCATCGGCGTCCCCACCCACCGACTTACCTTGCTGACTCTGGACGCCCTGTGGACACACTTCTCGCGGAGGCAATGCAAGATGGCATCGATGGCCTTGCTGACCTTCTTCTGGAACTCAGGGTTCGGTTTCAGGTGGTCCTGGATGAAGCGGTCCAGGTCCTTGGTGCTGATGCGAGACAGATCCAAGGCCACCCCCAGAGTACAGGGCGAGGCGGTGGCTGTCCCTGAGGGGCCGGGAGCCGGGCGTGAGGGCAGCCCGCTCCTGGGGCGCATGGCATTGAGACGGTTGCTGTCCTCAGGTGCCCTCTGGGCAGGGTCTCGCTGGATGGGGTGGTCTAAACCTGAGCAGCCAGCACGTGGAAGGCCCTGGAAGTTTGTTGAAGGAGGCATCTTACAAGCGGAAAGGTTTCTCCAGCCCTTCTTTTGCCAACCCCCTCCCATCGTACAGTCAGGGTGACAGAGAGAGAGGGAAAGTTAAGAAGGTCACCACTAGCGCATAAGGCGCCTTTGTGCAGATTAGAAAAAGGTGCCCTTCCAAAGGGCATAAATTTATCCAAAGGGATAAATTATAAAAAGGTGCTCTGTGCTGGGCGGACACTGTGATAAGCAGACGATAACAGCGCCAACAGATAGGCTCCTCCAACAGCCTTAGCTTGGTGATCCGGCTGTTTTACATGCCTGCAGCCCCCACTTGTCAACTCTGTCCCACAGCCCATGGCCCCAGCACACAGTAGATGCTCAGGAAACACGGAGTCCATGAATTAGGTGTGGTTTTACATCTAACAGGGATCCCGGGAGCCCCTCACTTACGGGCCCCTCCCAGGGCTGCACAGCACCACCTGCCGCCTGCAGAAAACACGGGTGCCCAGAGCAAGACTCTGCCTCTTGGGCCAGCAGATCCCAATGCCACACTGCTCCGTTCCCTACATCCCACGTGGGGTCAGCCGGGTCCAGGATCACCGGCCTGCAAACCCAGAGGGACAGGAAGGTTCTGGTTAGCAAGATGGTCAAGATCAGGGGCACCTGGTTCCAATTCCAGCTCTTCTACTTTCCAGCTGTGTGACCTAGGGTGGATGACTTACCTTCTCTGAGCCTCAGTTACCCTTGGTGGGCTGTTGCGGGGTGGGGATTAAACTGGAGTAATGATCCTCAACTCTGGCTGCACGTGAGAATCATCAGCTAAGGAGGATCCACCCGCAGGACTCGGAGTTACCCCCATGACTTAGCACATTTTATTCCTACGTATGTATCTAACAGTGTGTCCACACCAAAATGCACGTATGAGACTGTTCAGTCAGACTTATGGTCACAGCCCCCGAGCAGAAACACCTGAATGTCAGCGAGGAGCGGAATGGAAAGCATACTGTGATAAATTCACGCAATGCAAACACTAAGCTCGGCCACAGAAAACAGTAACGATGATAAACAAGTATGCGCAACTGTATGGATGAATCTTGAAAACTTAACGCTGAGAAAGAGATGCCAGACAAGACACGAAAGTATGTGCCATGTCAGTCTGCTTTGGTAAGATTTTAAAATAGGGACTGTAATGGTAACAGAATAGGGGTCACCTTTGGAATGTCACTGACTGGGAGAGATAAAAGGAAAGTTCCTGAGGTGCTGGAAATATCCTCCCTTGATCTGGTGGTCTTTTCACAGGTATGTCCACTTTGTAGAAACGCACCACAATATGCACGTTGGATGAATATGCTGTATGTCGCTAAAATGTTCACATGTAAAATATGTTCACACAAGAAAAATCTTTTTTTTAATGTTTATTTTTGAAAGAGAGAGAGAGCACGCACTAGCAGGGGAGGGGCAGAAAGAGAGGGAGACACAGAATTCAGAGCAAGCTCCAGGCTCTGAGCTGTCAGCACAGAGCCTGACATAGGTCTCAAACTCACGAACCGCGAGATCATGACCTGAGCCAAAGTTGCCGCTTTAACCGACTGAGCCCTCCAGGTGCCTCTTAGAAAAATCTTTTAAAAACTGCCCCCAAAGGGGCGCCTGGGTGGCTCAGTCAGTTAAGCGTCCGACTTCGGCTCAGGTCATGATCTCACGGTTCGTGGGTTCATGCCCCGCATCGGGCTCTGTGCTGACAGCTCAGAGCCTGGAGCCTGTTTCAGATTCCGTGTCTCCCTCTCTCTCTCTGACCCTGCCCTGCTCATGCTCTGTCTCAAAAAATAAGTAAACTATAAAAAGTTTTTTTTTAAACTCCCCCCAGTGACTGTAATTTCCCTCTGGGGCTGAATCCACTGAATTAGGAAGCGCACGCGCAGCGTGTGGCTTTGGTCCCCTCACAGGCCTCAGGAGAAGAGACCTGTTTTATCATTGCTAATTACCTCCCGCAGCCCCAGCCCGAGCCCAGGAGAGCAGGTGGGGAGCGCTGGGACGTACCTGGGTCTCTCAAGCTGGTACCGCAAGAAGCGTCTGACCACAGGGTCCTCGAAGCCGTAGTTGAGGGTCCAGAAAACACACAGATGCCGATACTGCTGGATCAGGCCCAGGACGGTCCGGAGGCCTTGGGCCAGGCTGAAGGCTTCCTTCCCACAGCCCTGTTCCCAGGCGAAGATGGTCAGCAGCTCCAGGGCGTAGACTGGAGGCAGCTTCTCCCTGCTCACCTCCTCCCTGCACACCTGTGAGGGCGGGGAGGGGAGGGGAAAGAGAGCGCTCCCTTGGAGAGCTTTGCTGGACCTCTCAGTCTCTGGGGGGCTCAGTCTCTGGGGGACCAGAGCCCACAGGGACGCAGATTAAACCTGGGATGAGATGTCGTGTTCCAAGAACAACCTGATATTTAACCGCCCTCCCTCCTGGAGCTTTGGCAACGCCGCGGGCTTATGTGAGATTCAAGCCTCTAGGATTGGGGAGCAGTCAGAGAGAGGCCAGTGGGTGGGCAGTCTGAGGCTGTTACTCATCCTCCAAATGAGGGAATGGCAGAACTTCCCCAGGGTCACGCAGCAAGTCAGTGGCCAATCAAGAACTGGAATCCTGTATCTCCTCATGCCAGACTTGGTTTATGATGAGTGGTCCAACAGAAAGACCGAGCCGTGTGCCCAAAGATCTTGTGGGAGGGGGGTTCCCTCATCTCCAGCACAGGCTGGGCATCCCTTCTTCACTACACAACCGTCTATCAACAGACGTGAATGTTTCGGGGCAGGGGTCGTTCCTGAGGCTGAGGTGGGAAGTATGCAAATGCCACATTACTTCATACCCTGGACAGAACATTCCAGATTCAAAGCCCTGAGCCCACATGAAAAGAAAACCTTGAAGCCTTCTGGAAAAAAACATGGAAGAAGAATTTTAGAAAGTCAGGGGAGGCAAAACCTGCTTGCACAAGACACACCAAGTACAAATCACATGAGAAAAAGATGAACACACCTGATTACATTAACATCCAAACATTTCCTGGGACAAGGACCTATGAACAAAACGGAAGCACAAGCCTCGTAGTGGGGGAGTAGATTTGCATTATATTAACTCAGTAAGAATGAGCACCTGGAATATATGAAGAGCTCCAGCAAACCAACAATGAGAAAACGGCTAACCCTATAGAAAATAAGCAAGCGATATGAACAGGCAATTCCCATAAACAGGATGGCCACTAAACACAAGAAACTATTCTACCATGAAATCACAAATCCAAGCAGTCGTATGGCTGGGGCGAGGCCCCTCGGTAGCGGCCTTACCTGGCGGAACCAGTGCTTCACAAGCAGGATCAGGTTCTTCAGCTTGGTTGGGCGACCGTTCACAAAGCTCCTCCGCAGCTCTGCGAAGCAGGCCGCGTGCTCGCCCCCTTGGCAACCACTGCTGAGGAGGGTCGAGTAGATCTGGGGCCTGAGTTTGACATTGGAAGTGAGTGGTCCTGTGGGCGTGAAGTGCTGTAAGTCAGGAAGGGTTCCGAGGCCAGGGTGGAGAAACAGGAGAAGAAAGGGATGTGGTGGAGAGAGGTATCCACTAGCACGGGGGCTGGAGGATGAGGAAGAGAGCCTGGAGCCTCTGAGGGGGCAGGGAGGAAAGTTCTAGACCAGATGGAAGAGTCCCTTCCTTCCAAATGGCCAGGCAGCCCCCAGGGCCAGGCTGCATTCCAAGATGGTTAAATAGGAATGCTACGTCTGGCTGAATCGGGAGCACCCATAACCCGGCAATTCTCCCCTCCCTGAGGCTCCCTCAGGCAGCGCGAAAAAGCCACCTCACATACCTTTAATTAATTGGTGCCAGAGGGAAAGGAAACGGTGCTGGAGAAAATATAAGGCAAAGGATTCTGATGCCTTAGCAGTGATTGTTAATATTTTTTTAGTGCTTCTGACACGCCAGGCACTGTGCTGAAATTTCACACCGAGTGCCGCATCTCCCCACCAAAACACCATCAGGCAAGTATTCTAGACCTCATTTTACAGCTCAGGACGCTGAGGCACAGAGAAATTCAGTGCTTGAGGCACAGAGAAATTCAGTGCTCTGTCCAAAGCCATATAGCTGGCAAGCGACGGAGACAGAGTGGGACTTAAAGCTACGAACTTTGTAATAGGTGCCTTCCCCACCACCACTTCCAGTGGGCCTGGCCTGGGGAAAGGAAATGCTCTCTGTAATTTTCCGGGTTCCCGACATCGCTTATTTGCTGTGTGACTCTGGGTGAGTTACCGTCCATCTCTGTGCCTCAGTGCCCCTCTTAGTAAAAAGGAAGACAAGACAGGACGGACCTCACAGGTTTGTCCTGAGGAGTTAATGAGATGAAATACATCAGGTGCTTGGAATAGTCGAGCATTTAGTAAGCAGGAGCTATGTGTCGTCAGGGAACGTGAGCCCAGAGAGGGATACCGAGGCCACACAGCAGGTTGGTGGCAGGGCTAGGTGGAAACTCTGTCCTACTCCTAATGCTCTTGCCCCGGACCCTGGAATGGGTCAGGCACCCCTCACCCAGAACATCGAAGGCAGGCACCACGCTGACATCCATCCAGTTTTCGAGGTCTGCGGATGTCAGTCGGAACCGTAGGACCCTGGCCATGTCCTGCTTGGGGAACTCAAGGCTCAGACCGTAGTTGGGTCTCTGCCACCAAGATTGCAACCTGGCCCGCATCTCGTTGAGGATCTCTGCGCGGTGAACACGCTGATCCTCATAGCTCTTGAAGCAGTCGAGGAAGATGACGAGCTCCGAATCACAGCCGCCCCTCAGAGCTGTGCCCCGGCCAGAGGAACCGCCCTATGAAGCAAAAAATAATTCAGAATTCTGCACTCTTTGATTCTGGTGCCCAGAAGGGCTGGCAGGCCACGTGAGTGAACCAAGTGGGCTGCGTGGAGACCATGGCCACACCGCTGGCATTTGAAGCCATGCAGAAATGCAAGTCTAGGACAGCCAGCCTTGACTTTGCAAGAAAGGCATGTTTTATTTGTAAACCCAACTACTTCTAAATGTTGTCCACTAACTTCAAAAGGTTTTGTTAATTTAAAATTAAAAAAAAATTTTTTAGGGGTGCCGAGGTGGCTCAGTCGGTCAAGTGTCCAACTTCGGCTCAGGTCGTGATCTCACAGTTCGTGGGTTCGAGCCCCGCGCCGGGCTCTCTGCTGTCAGCACAGAGCCTGCCTCGGATCCTCTGTCTCCCTCTTTCTCTGCTTCCCCTTTCTCTCTCAAAAATAAACATTAAACTTTTTTTCATTAAAAATGTTGGTGAAACAAATTCTGGTTTGCAGAACACATGTTCTCGACTTCTGCCTGGGATCAGTTCAAAACCATGGTATGACTTGCTGAGCGTCTGGGACCTTTCTGACGGGTGTTTCTTTCTGCAAAGCTGTCAGAGGAGGACTTGGGAAGGAGATGCCCATGATCAGAGTCTCTCCTTGTGCCTGGAGCCCTGTTGAATGCCTGACACCTATAATCTCACTTCCAGGCAATCCCCCTGCTGTGGTTACACGTGGTTCCCCTAGGCAGTGAGGCTCAGGGCTGTGAAGTGAGTTAACACAGCCAGGAAAAGACGGGAACCAGGATTAGCCTTCCCAGGGCATCTCTCCCACCAAGCTGGGATCGCGAATTATCCCAATGGTATCAGTTTTTTGTTTTTGTTTTCCTTGCCAGCTCCTCACATCGGGGGCTGCCAGTAAATGTGGGGGGTAACAGGACAGAGCGGAGACGGATGTTCAGGATGTACACTGAACATTTCCTGCATGTTTTTTACATGATCATCTCAGCGAAGCTCTGTAACAAGCCTGAGAAGAAGGTACTGTTACTGCTCCCGCTTTACAAAGGAGGAAATGAGGAATCGAAAGCGGAGAAAGGTTGCTCGCCAACCCCTGGGCCAGAGAAGCACTGGACTTGGAGCCCGGGAGGTCAACTCAGAAGATCTGGCTCTAAGCCTACATTCTCCCTGCACTCCTTTCCATAGATTTATTCCCTTAAAAATAGTTTTTAGTGTGAATTGTTTCTAAGCCTATACAAAAGAAGAGCGGGTTTTAAGGAAGTCTTTTGCCACATTTGCTCCATTTATTTTTTTATTTAAAATTTTTTTAATGTTTACTTATTTTTGAGAGAGAGAGAGTATGAGCAGGGGAGGGGCAGAGAGAGGGAGACACAGAATCCAAAGCAGGCTCCAGGCTCTGAGCTGTCATCCCAGAGCCCAACATGGGGCTCAAACTCATGAACAGCGAGATCATGACCTGAGCTGAAGTCGGATAGTTAACCTACTGAGGCACCCAGGCGCCCCATCTCCTTATGTGATTTTTAAAGAAATTTCAGCCACTGTGTCATTCCCACCCCCACCCAACCCCCGCTTCCACTTTCATGGGCATCTTGAAAATAGCGATCCTCAATGGGGTAAGGGGTATATGTGTCTCGGGAGGGGGCGTGTGGCAATGCCAGAAGACAATTTTGGTGGTCACAGCTGGGGCAGGAGAGCCCCTTCATGTTGGCCCTGGGGGAGGGGTTCTTCTGACTACAGAGGTCTGCCACCCCCTTTTTTTGCTTTCTGGTCCAACTAGAAGCCCCAGGCTCATCTTGCACATTATTCCAGCCCTGGAACCGGCCATTTCTCCAAGGAGTCCTTTTAGCCAGCGAGCAGCATCTTAAGACTGGAATGTAGCTCATGGCTCTACCTGCTTGACCGCTGCCTCCTTAAAGCCTTGAATGATCAGATGGCCATAAGCTAAATTCAACCACAAGAGCTGTTCCAGGCTTTCCAAGAAAGTCAAGGATGCCAGAGCTTTAGAGATTCTTAAACTATGGCTCCAAAGAAATTCTTCCTGTCCACCTCAAAGGCAGAAATCTGTCTCCACATTTCGTAGGCTGCAAGTCCCTCCTTCTTTCCTACCTCCCAAGCTAAGACTGGGGGCTTGGAAACCACCAGCTGCTCTGGGGCCAGCCCTTGCTCGGTGTTTCCACCCCTTCCCTGAGCAGCTCCAAGCCCCTCGCCTCTACCCCAGCCAGGTTCCCCGGATACATTCCTGGAGTCTGAGCGGAGGATATAGTAGCTGGTGCCGGTCTCCTCCCTGAATCTGTGGGCATCCTGGGGTCACAGTGGAAGGGAGGCATTTAAATGACAAAAAGTGGCCTGGGGCAGTGGCTCACCCACAGCCAGTCCCAGTCTCCTCCCCCTTCATAAAACAAGGGCAATAATCCCTACCTCACTGAATGCGAGGATTAAGTGGAATGACTCGTGTAATGAGACAATGTTTATTGTTACTGGGTAGTTTCTCAGTAAATGAGGCTCTTACGGCCATTGGAGAATACTAGCGTTTCTTTTTTTTTTTTTTAATGTTTTTTATTTATTTCTGAGAGAGAGAGAGAGAGACAAAATGAGCAGGGGAGGGTCAGAGAGAGAGGGAAACAGAATTGGAAACAGGCTCCAGGCTCTGAACTAGCTGTCAGCACAGAGCCCAACGCAGGGCTTGAACCCACGAACCGTGAGATCATGACCTGAGCCGAAGTCAGACACTCAACCGACTGAGCCACCCAGGCGCCCCGAATACTAGCGGGTCTGCATCCTTAGGAGCAGGCATGGTGTGAGGGCTAGAGTCTGTTTGCATTGGGTAAATGACTGAGTGAGTAAGTGAATGAATGAATGAAGGGAGGAAGCCTGTAAGAGAGCACACAGATGCAAGAATCAGACAACGTGGCTTTGAATCTTGCCGGACCTCTTACAAGCTTGGACCCATTATTTCGTCTCCCCGTGCCTCAGTTTCCCATGTGTCAGCTGGGGTTAATCGTACCTACTTGGCCGGGCTGTGCTGTGCAGTGTGTTTCCAGGGCACTTAGAACAGCGCTAGCACATAGCAAGCATGCTTCCCAAGTGTCGAAGAAATGAATGAAAAGAGCCGATACTGGGGCGCCTGGGTGACTCATTGGGTTGAGCTTCCGACTTTGGCTCAGGTCATGATATCACAGTTTGTGAGTTCGAGCCCCGAGTCAGGCTCTGTGCTGACAGCTCGGAGCCTGGAGCCTGCTCGGATTTGTTGTCTCTTACTCTCTCTGGCCCTCTCCCACTTGTGCTCCCTGTCTCTCAAAAATAAATAAATGTAAAAAAAAATTGTAAAAAAAAAAAAAGAAAAGAGCCGATACTAACTGTCTTGGGCCACATCGCCCGCGGGAATGGATTGCTCCTATTTACAGGTGAGTTCCCCCCACGCCAGCCCCTGCTCCCTGAGCGGCGCCAGGTGAGTCCCCCCCACCCCCCGCCCCTGCCCCCTGAGCAGCGCCAGGTGAGTCCTCCCACCCCCACCTCCCCACCCCCCGTCCCGCCCCCTGAGCAGAGCCAGGTGAGTCCCCCCCCCCCCCC